TATTTTGCTCAATTTAGTTTTTGTGAATTATTTTTTAAATATTTTTATTAGGTGTGCCTTGATGAGAAGAATGGAAACCTAAAATTTCATGTGATTTAAATTTTTTTAAAAAAAATATAAAATTATATGATGAAATGAGGTCATGACCATCAGACCGGCCCAGATTCAATCTAGGCCGCTAGGCATATACTGTTCCATCAACTGGTGGGTTGACCTTAGCTTTTCCGTATATATATATATATATATATATATATATATATGAAGATACTGCAAATGCCTATAGGCAAAAATGAACAGTGATTTTGCCTACCCTCATCACCATCCAAACTTCATCGCACGATCACAGTTGTCCGATAGTGTTTTAATTTTCATTTTCTTTCTATAAATCAGAATGATTTGAAATTTGGAACGTCAAATCATAAAAAATAGACGAATCTAAAAAAAATATAAAAAAATAATCATTTACAAATATAAATTGACCAAAATACCCCTGAAAATTTACGGGGTATTTTGATCAATTTATATTTTGTGAATTATTTTATTTATATACTTATTAGGTGTACCTCACTAAGATGTACACACTCTAAATTTTAGATCATTCCGATTTATAAAAGAAAAATAAATAAATAAAACCCTACTGGACAACCGTGACCGTACGATGTACTTTGGATAGTGATGAGCATAGGCGAAATCACTGTTTATTTTCACCTATAGGCATTGGGCAGGCTTTTCCATATATATATATATATATATATATACATTAGCCCATTAGCTAACAGCTACAATGTTGGCTCAATGGCTTAAATTGAATCTAGGCCGATCCAATGGTCATGATTGTATTTTGTATTTGAATTTTAACTTTTTTTCTACAAATCCAAATCACTTGAAATTTTGAGCGTCTATTCTTTAAAAATAAGATAATCTAAAAAAATATCAAAAAAATAATTCACAAAAAAAAAACTAGCCAAAATACCCCTAAAAAGTCTCAGGAGTATTTTTGGTCAAATTAGTTTTTGCAAATTATTTTTTAACATTTTTATTAGGTGCGCATTGATGAGAAGGATGGATGCTTAAAATTTGGGATTCGGATTTGTTGAAAAAATATTAAAATTACATTACGAAATGAGGTCGTGACCGTCAGATTGGCCCAGAATGAATCTGAGCCCTGGGCTAACACTGTAGCTGTTAGCTAGTGGGCTAACCTCAGATTCTCCATGAATATATATATATATATATATATATATATATATATATACTATACTATACTTATTAACGTTACCTTTTACCTTAAACTTAAA